ACACGCCGAGCCTCAGCTGTCTAAGTTGTGTCTTCCACCATGCCCAACCTTAGTCCAACTTCAACAATATTTAGGATCAATTAATTGGGCCCGTCCCTACATGGGACTAACCACCTCTCAATTGGCTCCATTGTTCTCTGCTCTTACGCAGGGAAAAAATCCAGGAGATAAGATCGTGTTAACTCAACAACAACTTAAAACCTGTGACATCATTCAACATGCATTGTCAAAAGTATGGGTCGATCGTGTTCAGCCCAATATGCCTTTTTCTATGCTAATTTTCAACACTGTTGACCTTCCTACAGCAGCTTTGGCTCAGATCGTGTCTAACAAAAAAATGATGATTGTAGAATGGATCCACTTATCTCACACCCCAAAGAACACCATTTCACAGAAACATACGCTCTTTGCTCAGCTTATAACAAAATCTCGTTTTAGGGCAAAGGCTTTAGGGGGTGTTGAACCATCCTTTTTATATATCCCTTGTTCGCTAACGGCTTGGGAAAGTTTGTTGGCCAATTATGAATCTTTGCAGCAAGCACTTGCTGATTGGCCAGGAGAAGTGTCTTGTCATCCACCATCAGATCCTCGCATTTTTTTATTAAAAACAGTCCCATTTAAATGGCAATCTCCTTATGTTTCTTTCCCTTTAAAAGAAGCAATAACGGTGTTTGCAGACGGCAGCAAGACTCATGGAGCCTGTGCTTGGAAAGAGGAGGGTAAGTGGTGTACAAAAATCACCCCCCCCACAGACGTCAGCTCAGCGCTCTGAGTTAGTGGCAGCCACAATGGCATTTTTTCATTTTAAAGATCAACCTTTTAATTTGATCCTGGACAGTTTATATGTTACCCAAATTGTCAAAACCATTTTTGATTCTTATTTAGCACCAAATGTCTCTATGGATCTGTTAACATTATTTTTGGACTTGCAACATCTCATAAATGGTCGGAAGCACCCATTTTTTGTTGCCCATATTCGTAGCCATCAGCCTTTTCCAGGCCCACTCCAAGAAGGCAATGATGTTGCCGATGCTGCCGCCTCACAAACACCTCTTAATATGCCACTCACCTTTTTAACTCCCTGGGAAAGTCATTCCTATTTCCATCAGAATAAGAAAGCATTAATCAAACAATTTATTCTTTCAGCTGCTGAAGCTGCTGCCATCGTTCAGCAATGTCCAACCTGTAGCAAGCAAGCACACTCAACACCACTTGGAGTAAATCCTCGTGGCTTGGAGAGCTGTCAAATTTGGCAAATGGATGTTACTCAATATCCTCCTTTTGCCCCGTGGAAATATCTTCATGTTTCTATTGATACATATTCTGGCTTTATTATGGCTTCCCCCCAGAGGGGTGAGGCCACTAAACATGTTATCAATCACTGTATTCGGTCATTTGCACTGTTAGGACGCCCCAAAGAACTTAAGTCAGACAACGGACCTGCTTATATTAGCTCTGCTTTTGCAGAATTCTGTACAAAATGGTCCATTGTTCATAAATTTGGCATTCCGTATAATAGCCAAGGTCAAGCCTTGGTTGAGCGAGCAAATCAAACATTAAAAACAGCTCTCAATCGATATTTAAATGAAAAGGGGAAAATCGCCCCTGGCCTCCCAGCAGTGCAAAACATTCTTAACTTGTGCCTTTATACACTGAACTTTTTAAATCTGACGGGCGATCCACCATCAACAGCTGCCTATCGTCATTTTTCAACAGTCCCTCCCCCTACTTCAAGACCTCCAGTCTACTATCGACGGCTTCCAGACCCCACGTGGAAAGGTCCTGCAGAGCTTATCACCTGGGGGAGAGGCTACGCTGCAGTAGATGATCATGGCAAAATCATTTGGACTCCAGCTCGCTGTGTTCGTCCTTATTTGGTTCAATCTCCACCATCCTAACCAGACATCAGATGACCATGGACCCTGGGCCCACAACTCTTTTATGAAAGATGTGCAGAATATTTCTCGCCTTTTGAACAAGACTGAGTGTTGGATGTGCATGCATATTCCAACCCTGGAGGAGGGGGGACTTTTTATGCATGCGGTGCCTTTTAATACAACTGGTTGGAAACAATTTCCCTGGTCTAGAGGGACTCTTTCCAATGCTATGGTGAATTATACGGTATATACAATAGGAAGCAGAATCCAGGAAAAAGCAGCGTTTTGTTGGGAATATAAGAACACTGCTAAAAACTCTGTTTTAGTAGGCAGATACCCATATTGTAACATCACATTTCAACTTTCAAACAACATGACTAGACCACATCCATTTAAGAAAATTCCTCTTTTTGAACCCCTCGATGACTTTTCTGATTATATGTGTACCTATCAAATAACTGGATGCTCGCTATCAACAGGATGTCACCCCGGCAACACAGACACGATGTCCACACTCTTCCTTTGCAGTATTGTAAGAGCCATGGCTCGCCAAACTGTGCAAAGCTCCAACACGACTACAAATATATTAAGTAATGTATGGATGCTTTGTGGCTGGCGGGCATATCAACGTATACCCCCACGGTGGTCCGGCCGTTGTACATTGGGCTTTCTTGCTCCCTCAGTTTTTGTTTCAGATCAGCCACCTTCAGGCCGTTCACCCACCAACAGGTCAATTTAGTAACTACACCTATCACTGCAGTTCAGCAAACCTTGCTAACTAAACCAGCCTTCACTTTGCCAAGCGACACTGAGGATGACTTCCTATAAAGCGCAACCTCCTTATTTTAAATAAAACAGAAAAGTAGGAGATGTTGGAGTCATTGGGTTATCTGGCCTGTTAGGCTGAGTCATCAGCTGCAGTAGGCCAAGGTATGCGGAAGTCAAAAGTGAAAAAACAAGTTTGTGCCGTGCGGTGCAAGGGAATGTTGTTTTGGTGTTTGTTAGTGCCGTGTGCAACAGCTGTATAGTAGCGTGTGCAAAACAAAGTTAGCACGTGTAATATGCTAATATGCTGTGTCACAACAAATGTGGTTGGTGTAAGGTGGTCACCAGGTGCCTATAAACCCGCCTTCTGATAACACAATAAAAGGGATGCTTCGTCTTTGTTCGAGGCTCCCATCCCGAGGAAACCACGTGTAAGTGTCTGTTCTTCAACACCCATGGGAGACCGCTGGGCGCGTGAAAACCCGCAACATGTAAGTAACACCCACCATCCACATTTTCCATTTAGATTTAAGAGAACAGAGCTCAGAGGGGAACCTCAAAAGGATATTTGCCTGAAGGACAATTTCTAAGCCTTCTGATTTGGGTCACTTACAGTGAGGGAAAAAAGTATTTGATCCTCTGCTGATTTTGTATGTTTGCCCACTGACAAAGAAATGATCAGTCTATAATTTTAATTTTAATTTATTTTAATAGTGAGAGACAGAATAACAACAACAAAAATCCAGAAAAATGCATTTCAAAAAAGTTATAAATTGATTTGCATTTTAATGAGTGAAATAAGTATTTGATCTCCTATCAATCAGCAAGATTTCTGGCTCCCAGGTGTCTTTTATACAGGTAACAAGCTGAGATTAGGAGCAGCTTGGTGAGAAGATGACAATAGTTGGTACGATTATTTGCAAATAGAAGAAACACAAAATAACTGTCAATCTCCGTTGGTCTGGGGCTCCATGCAAGATGTCACCTCGTGGAGTTTCAATGATCATGAGAAAGATGAGGAATAAGCCCAGAACTACATGGAAGGATCTTGTCAATGATCTCAAGGCAGCTGGGACCTAGTTACCAAAAAAACAATTGGTAACACACTATGCTGTGAAGGACTGAAATCCTGTAGTGCCCACAAGGTCTCCCTGCTCAAGAAAGAACATATACATGCCCGCCTGAAGTTTGCCGATGAATATCTGAATGATTCAGAGGAGAACTGGGTGAAAGTTAGAACAATTAATCAATGGAACAACCTGACTCCAGAAGCTGTGAATGCTCCAACACTGGAAGTTTTTAAGAAGAGACTGGACAGCCATTTGTCTGAAATGGTATAGGGTTTCCTGCCTGAGCAGGGGGTTCGACTAGATGACCTCCAATGTCCCTTCCAACTCAACTTGCTGTGTTAGGAGGAGGAGGAATGCTGCCTGTGACTCCAAGAACACCATCCCCACTATCAAACATGGAGGTGGAAACATTATGCTTTGGGGGTGTTTTTCTGCTAAGGAGATAGGACAACTTCACCGCATCAACGGGACAATGGACAGGGCCATGTACCATCAAATCTTGGGCGAGAACCTCCTTCCCTCAGCGAGGGCATTGAAAATGGGTCGTGGATGGGTATTTCAGCATGGCAATGATCCATAACACACAGCAAGGATTGTCTCAAGAAGAAACACATTAAAGTCCTGAAGTGGCCTAGCCAGTCTCCAGATCTTAATCCCACAGAAAATCTGTGGAGAGAGCTGAAGGTTCGAGCTGCCAAACATCAGCCTTGAAACTTTAATGACTTGGAGAGGATCTGCAGAGGAGTGGGACAAAATCCCTCCTGAGGTATGTGCAAATCTGGGGGCCAACTACAAGAAATGTCTGACCTCTGTGATTGCCAACAAGGGTTTTGCCACCAAGTACTAAGTCATGTTTTGCGAAGGGATCAAATACTTGTTTCACTCATTAAAATGAAAATCAATTTATAACTTTTTAAAATGTGTTTTTCTGGATTTTTTTGTTGTTATTCTGTCTCTCACTGTTAAAATAAACCTACCATTAAAGTTATATACTGATCATTTCTTTGTCAGTGGGCAAACGTACAAAATCAGCAGGGGATCAAATACTTTTTTCCCTCACTATACGTACACACTGTTAAATAAAGTTTAACCTAGATAACAATATAGATTCTCATTAGACTTTAATTTTTTATATCTACCAGCTGTCGTGCCTATGACTAGTCAGACAATTGTTAATTTTGGGGTAATTAAGAGTTTGCAAGTCTTTCTATGTAAATGGATGAAATAGAGCTGGTACAAAAAAAATATATCTTTAACAGTATAGCATTTTTGTTATTTTTAAACTGACTTGAGTGCAGCTTGTCTCAACTCTGTGCATCCCAAATGAGTAGTCATCAGTACATGTAATTGTGTCAGAATTGATTACATCATAGAATGAAGGCCAACCTGAAAAATAAAGAGACAAGAAATTAATCGGGAATGATTTGAGAGTTAAATAAACTTTTGACGGTTTTAATCACAAAAGTGATTCTCAGGCATTTGCTATACTCTGGATGAACACATTGAACAGGCAAAGCAAAGCAGTAAGTTTTCACATTGTGAAATACTGTACTATTTATTCTTGTCTTATTTTAGGCCTGTATAGTCTAAAAATGTGTGAACCCTCTAAAGAATTATATTTTTTCATAACTGTCATTTTAAAATACCCACTTTTGAAGAATCTAAACAAGAAACAGAAAGTTAACAGGCCTCCAAAACACAGCATTCTTATCAAAGTGAGAGAAAAGGGTTTTCTCAAGCACTCCATTAATTTTCCATCACTTTCTACTTTTAAAAACAAGATTTCTGGTGTAGCATATACATTTCTATGTGCTCCTATTCATGCACATAGGGAATGACTAGAAATGCATGTCATTCTGGCAGGTTTTATATGGGAAAATGTCAAGGACCAACATTTCTCTAACAGGAGCTAATAGGGAACAGTTGTTTTTCTCTTCTATCAAAAAAATTAAAAACATTATAGCCATTACATGCAACTTTGATATGAACTGGGTTTATACAATACAGCCAAAAAGACAGTGTAAATAACATGCTTCATATCTTCCACTCACCTTCACCATTTTTTTCTACAAAGGGAATAGTATAGCTCCTATACAAAAACTAATGGAAACACTGCATTCCTACTCAGTCATGTAAAACTAATGATTTAAGATTACAACCTAAAATGTATCCTACAAGGTATATTAGATGAGCACATATAGAATTCTATAAAATCATTGAAGACAAACACCAAAATGACACATTTGTCAGGTTGTGGACAGCACCACTAGAGATGTCTCCATTCCTGCCACTCAATGGAAAAGAGCCAAGGAAAAGCAATCCTATATTTCTGAGGAGGAAAGGGGTCCCCAATAATTGCTTCCGGATTGATTCTCTTATCTACTGCTATAACAGACAATAGGGTTTGGAAGAAGAATGCCTTTATCATGCAAACAGATTGAAACTTGTTCAGTATTGAGAAAACTTTCTAAAAAGTCTTCATTATACCTAAGTGACAAACATCAAAAACTAGTATTAATACATTGAGAAAATATCCTTCTTATGAGAAAAGTTATATTGCAGAAATACTTCAGATGAGTTTCTTTCCAGTTTTGATATTAATAATCAATTACTGTCTGTTGCAGACTTTTTCACTCGGATTCTGCTCCAAGCCTTTAAAAATTTACTATCCCAATCTTTAAAAAGATAATGTCTCCTTCCAGTCAAGTTTAGCTATTGGTAACTATATAAATATTTCCAGGTAGCTTTCTGGTCAATAACACAGAAATGGTTTGCCTTTTTTTATGTAGGCTCATGTATATTTCTATTTCTATTATTACAAATAATAAATTACAAATCTAGGCAATGAATCTGTACTATAAGCTCCCATTATTTGATGCTTCACAATCTGTTATTGTTTTATTCTTTTTACAAGAATAGAACATACTATGTTAGCTGTACTATTGTTCATTGTTATAGTACAGAAGGTCAAAATAGGTGGGTGTGGGTCTCACCTCAGGGGGAGGGAGATGTTCCAGAAGGCGGTGCCATGGCAGAAAAGGCTTTTTTTCTGGCCCCCACCAGCCAAAATTCCTTAACTGACAGGATCCTCAGCATGCCACTCCTGCCAGCATGCGTGGAGCGGGCTAATTCCATCAGGGTGAGACAATTCCTCAGATAATCTGCATCCATGCCATAAAGGCTTTAGAAGGGATAACCAATACCTTGAAGTGGATCCAGAAACAAATTAGCAACCTGTGCAGCTTATGGAACAGTGGTGTAACTTGGATCACCCTAAAGCCTCAAGAACTGCCCACATTACTGTGTTCTGTACCAGCTGCAGCTTCTGGATACTCTTCAAGGGTAGCCTCATGGAGAAAGTGTTTCAATAGTCCAAAAATGAGATAATCAAAGGTTGACAGACTGAGCACAGAGAATCCCAATCCAGAAAAGGGTGCCACTGACCCACAACACGAAGTTGCACAAAGGCTCTCCTAGTCACAACTGCCACCTGCTCATTAATCAGGTGTTTCAAGTCCAGGAGAACCCCTAAATTGCATACTAGGTCTGTTTGGGATTGTGCTACCCATCCAGAACATTTGGTCTTGCCAGGGTTCAGTCAAAGCCTGTTGTCCCACATCCAGACTCCAACAGCCTCCAGGCACTGTAAGAGGGCAGTAAAAGCATCATTTGGATCACCAGGGGTGGAAATATAGAATTGGGTATCATACACATACTGATGATACTTCAACCCATGGTGATGAATGATCTCACCCACAACTTCATGTAGATGTTAAAAAGGATAGCAGTACTAAGCCCTGTGGCACACCAAAAGAAGTGGCTATAGAGTACTATTAGAAATTCTATTAAAAACAGTTTGCCTGGATTGTTAGCTTTTTTTAAAAATTAAACTTGTTTTAAAATACAGTTAACATGGACTATACAATGAGAAGGTTTATATGTCCCTTGTTCAATTAAGTAAGGCTGACAATAGCAACAAGAACACTCCTGAAGAATGAACATATATTTTTCTTCATTTAACAATACCAATATTTATAAAGTTATCAACAATATGGTAGCTTTAGTAAGCTTTATTGTTTTAATTAATTAGCTTTAATAACAAAATATTATACATGTTGCAAAATTATAGAATAATAATATTATGTTCACTCCAACATGCTATTCATTATCTCACTGGTTAAAATTCTGTAGTTAATTATATATCTTTGTATTTCAGGCAAGCTATTGAATTGGCATCATTCTAGCTAAACTATTGCTTTATCTCCTATGTCAGAGATCCCCAACCTTTTGGGCACCAGGGACCAGTTACTGTACATGGAGAGAGGTTTTTCCGCGGACTGGAGGGGGCACAGTTTTGTATGTTGCCTGCATCCTGCTTTGCTTGTTTGTGCACATTGGTTGCTGGCATGCCGTGGCCCAGTACTAGTCCATGGACCAGGGGCTGGGGACCCCTGTCCTATGTTACTTTAGATCTTCTAAAAACGTGAGTTAGCTATCGATTTTCAGCATTAAAGGAATTGAATGGCATTGTGTAGAATTATAACCTTAAGCTATAATTTTGAAGTGTCATTTTAAAATGTTTCAGTTTTTAAAATTTACTAGCGACCTAGTAATCTCAATCCTAAAGTATTTGATCTTGAATAATATTTTTGTTGCTATCTCAAAATGTAGTTCAATAAAACATCTCACATACTGCCCAAAACATCTCACATACTGTCTTACTCCAGGATGCTATAAAAGTGTAGTCTGTATAATTAAGATTATTCACAGTAAAATATTGTCTCTGGAGGCCCCTCTGCAGTTATTAAAGTTTATGTTATAGAATTTTATCAATAAAATACAGTATCAACTCCACACAAGACAATTAACTTTTATCATTCAAGTTAAATCAAAGAAAAACTTAATCCTTGAAGAAATTTCTTATTAACATGAATGCAACATTTTTCTCTTTTAAACTACTGCAATTATTCTATGTAATGACTAGGAATATGTTCTAGCCAAAATTAATCAGTTTTTTTAATTGATTCAGTTATTTACAAATTACAAACATGCAATTTATTGGTTTAATTCAGTGGAATTCAAACTTTGGGAGTAACAAAATACTCAGAGAGATAAGCAGTTTCAAAATATGAAATGTATTAAAATAATTTCAACAATATGATTAATTTGAAGTTTTTCACAAGTCATTACCAGATCAACTCCAGGTAAAAATCACTTCCACTTCCATCTCTAAGCAGAGATGGTATTTTTGCTTGTTACTTCTTTGTGCTTGAATTCTGTCAAATGGGTATCGTAACTAGAAATTAACAAAACTAATTATGGGTAGCTAATTTATGATTATAGATGAAAACTGACTATTGATTATGAAATAACGAAACAGTATGAACGACATTATAGCACAGAAGATTTAACCATGAAAGCTTTTCAAGAAAAATATCCTAAACAAATATAACCACATGTGAAGGTGGTATGTAAAGATTATATGCATACAATATAGACAGTGCTTTTTTTGTTAAAAAAAAAAAAAGGTGCTGGAACTCACACACGTTATACAACCCGCCTTGCCTACCCTACAATGTTCCATCCAAAAAAGGTGCCGGAACTCCATTCTGGGCGTTCTATGACAAAAAAAGCCCTGAATATAGATCATACCATTTGACTAACCAAAGAACAGATCCAGAATCCAATACTGCAAAACTATCCTACTTCAATAGTAAGTAGCTCCAATTTATATTAGACAAAATGTGGTCTTTCCATGCCAAATATATGGTAAAAAAACATCTCAACAATTTAATAATTTTAATACACTGAGAAATCTCTCCAGTTTCAGCAATAATGGCAAAATAAACGGAATTTTCGTCAATAAATAAAACACAAATTATGCTAAAGCAGTGATTCTCAACCTTTCTAATGCCGTGACCCCATAATACAGTTCCCCGTGTTGTGGTGACCCCCAAGTGGGTGTGGCCACCAATAAGAGGGAGTAGGACAGCTAGGGAAAAGGGAAAAAAATGGCAGACAGCATGGTTTGGCGACTCCGTGAAATGGTCATTCGACCCCAAATGGGGTCCCGACCCACAGGTTGAGAACCACTGTGCTAAAGCTATAGTGAAGAATATCTCATACAATTCATGATATCTTGAATAGATAAAACTCTCCTGTTTATCTCTGTGAAAAAAGATTAAAATCTCTCTGGGTTCTATCATTTTAATCATTAGGATGGAATCTACAGATGTAAAATCAGTAAGATTCACTAAAGAACATCTATCTTCAATTTTAAAAGGACGACTATCTTTCTATCCCATTTATTCAACATTTGTAAATAGTTTCTAAATAAATTTCTTGAGGCTGAGAGGAATCATATTTTTGTGTTTTTTTTTTTTTTGTTTTCTCTGACTAATCTTTAATCTGACCTTATTTTTAAGGAAGGGATGGAGGAACAACCACATACAGCTTTAAGTTCAGAAATAATTGAGGGGCCACAGGTTTTTTTCACTTTCATGAAAAGGAATGAAGAAAAGTAAAATTTATAAATTAGCTTCTGGTAGGTAGTGGCAGCCTCTAACATGAAATAAAGGGCTCCAAAAAGAAATCATAATCAGTGCTAATTTCTAACTCTTACTGGGGAATTATTCATTACAAGTGGAATAATGTATGCAGTAGCATCTGGAAGCTTATTACACTTATGAAAATCTAAATTATCATAGGATGCCTCCATCTCATGGCAACAACTTAAATTCTAAATGGAATCTAGCAAATGTTCTACAAAAGGTGAATGTTTCATATCTGTACTCCTGTCTCCACCTGGTGACAAGATCCTTCAAAGATGCACAATTTTAAAAATAAACTCATGGCCTAAATGCTTAAGTCCACTACACAAAAAATGTTAGCAATTAACCTTGAAGTCATTTAGCTTTGCATACTTCAGACAATGTTTTAATATCCATTTTATAAAGAAATGCATTAGGGTGCAATGCCTTTCCATGATTGAAGCATCATTTATCTGCCATGGAAAGATTCCCAAAGAATATATGAAAAATGTAACATACAGCTGTAATTTTTGCATAGATTTTTTAATGTACTATTGATTCATTGAGGCAACTTTGCTTTTGTTTATTATAGCAATTTAAATTATCTTTGTAAGTGCTGTAATAAACAGAAGCCATTTGAATAATTATGAAACATTCCTGGTTAAGATAATGAAAAGAGGCTGTAACACAGTTCCAACAATACTGAAGTTACCGTGATCACAGACTACAACTGCAGTGGACTTCCTTAATGATGACTGGTAAATAAAGCTGTATCAAAACTCCCTGCAAATAAACAGGAAGAAAAATTCTTCACTCAATTTGCTGCAGTGATCTTCTAATTTAGGGAATTTTTCAGCATAATGGAGCTTTAAAAAAACTAAACAAGGAAGGCTGTAATTATATTAGCTAATTATTCAGCTTACAAATGTTTGTGTTCTAATTGCTGCTGTTTATAATTACTACATAACTGAAATAATTCTGATTTTACTTCTCCTTTCATCACTCTTTTTCCTCTTATCTCTCCTTCTGTACTTATTTATAATGCCCTTCATGAAATAAGTTGCTATCAATTAAAGCTCATGTAGTAATAGATTACTTCTAAGGTTTCACAAGGTTCTTTGGTTGTGTGTATGTGTGTGAGAGAGATGAATGACATGGGGGGGGGGAACTTGTACCATCTCATTTTGCTGCTTTTCTAGACAAGGACCTCAGTGTCTCAAATGATCTGAACATGTTCCCATAATATTATTTGATTCAGATTTCATCAACATAAAGGTTCCCACGGATTTCTTATTATTAGTAACCACCATAGGATGGTGGGAGCTGTAGATGAAGACATATCAAAGTTAACAGATTTAGATAGGCTGAACTCCTTATTCCAAGGGTTTTTATATATTAAGATGTTCCCTATTATACTATAATGGCGTATCACATAGGTGTTATTTTTTCTTTGCAGAAATTACCTATTTGCAGGAGTAGGAAACAGTCTCCTATTGGAAAAAAAACCTCACAGTTCTTAGAGTTCAGTTCCAATTTAAATATATTAAAATACTGTATATAAAATATAAAGAGAACAATTTTTTACTCTGATATATCACTAATGTTTTAATGCTGATTCTGTTATTTTGCCCCAAAATAAAGCATCTCTTCTCTTCCTCTAGTGTATTTTCATAAAATACAACAATATTCTGAAACTTCCTAGAGTATTTATAGACTTCTGCTATCAGATAAAGAGATAACAGATAAATGGAATCAACAAAGCAGTCTTTTGGTCAGTTAAAATTATCATTTTTTATAATTAAAAATATTTTTTAAATGTACATGTAACTTCATCAACTAACACTTATATTCAAATGTTCTTCACATCTGACAGTAACAGCCAGCAGTTTTATCAATATATACTAGAAATGCATTATTTCATTGCATGAGTAAGAATTGTTGAAATGCTCTTGGCAATCACTTCCAAAATTTACATATCAAAAGACACTATTTTTGAACATTGCAAAGTGGTAAAGGCTGCTTTACAACTTTGTAAAGGCTGTCTAGAGAAAATTGGGAATGATTGGTGATGACTTTTGCCACATCTCTTTCCCCAAGCCCACCCGATCCAGGTTCCAATCAATAAGACCAAATAAATCAGAACTCCAATGCAGGAAAATTCCTCAAAGAACATGTTTATTGGATACATAATATCAGCACGATCAAAAGTGAAACTAGATTTAAACTTTCCCTCCAATAATCAAAGTAATACAATGTAAGAATTCCCTCCCCTGTACTCATGCTGTCCAATAGAACAACTTGGCAGGATTTCAGACTAAACGATCCACCTTCTTCCCTTCAGTTTCCAACTTTCAATATACTTTTGCAATCCATTTAAAAATAATCTGCACACAAAGAGAACAAAAATGCGAACATTAGCTACTCATTAACATTTGTGAGAGCATTAAAAAGTTAGGATTCTCATAATATTGGATTTTGAAATATTAAACATCCATAGTAACAGAAGTATACCTAAACTAATTCTAATTCCACTGCAGGAGCAATTATCATTAAAAATAGAAATTAGTTATTACCTTTTACTTGTTGCTATACAGGTAGACCTAAAGATACAAGGATAATGAAGTCTTCCCATTACAGTCACATATTGTGATGGCCATTAAGTAAAATGTATCAAGTATATATAAATCTACAAATTATAGAATTGGAAGGGTCTATTTATGCTGTAAGTTAAATTCTTTGCTCATTGCAAATTAAAACATTCAAACTAATGAACCCATGTAATGAAGGTGTCAGAATCCAATTATATTTCATTTCTAGTTGGGAAAAACCAACTCTGGGAAAAACCCATTTCTGCTCTCTCTGGATTCTGTCATACTACGAAGGGGAAGGGGGATGAGCAGGGGAGTTTTATGGCTCTCACTTCCTTTATTAAAACTTCAAAAGGACTGGATGTTGACTCTCACCAAGAGAACTGACCATAACAATATGGCCATCGCCTTTCATCTACTCTCTCTGAAGTCTCCCTTTTGCTGGCAGTAAGGAAAAAGGGGGAGAACAAGGATCGTCGCCCAGAAGAACTGTGGGGTGGGGGGCTGCTTGGGAATGCTTAAAACATTGAAGGATGGGAGAGAATTTCTCAGATCCTGTTTAGCATGCCTGCAATCATTTTCTCTTAATAAAGATGCCTGTTGGAAAAGATATTCCAAGAGTTCTGTCTTTTTAAGGTGTAAAGTGAGGTGGATCCTTACAGAAGGCAAGCTCATAATGTCTCTAGATAACTAGTTCCAGAAAAGTGCTGTTATCACTTTTACATGCACAGCGTATGTATGTATGCAATGTAAGAATTGAAAGCATTGCTACTCCACATTTATTCATTTTATATAGCTGCCCATTACACATATGTAACTGAGAGTATAGACACCCTTTTAATTCTCCAAAAATCCCTTCCTCCCCAATCCATCATTCCAATATCTGACATATCCCTGGGAAAGTACCTGTTTTTATCTGGTATTTAAGTATCATGAAGAAATAAATCAATGAGGAATAAATACCTTTTTAAAATGTAGGTCCCCACAAGCATAATGTATACATTCACTACTGCCCCTAAGAATCCATAACACATCTATATCCTACTGGTGTGGAATGAGAATTCCAGCAAGTACTGGAAGAACATTGTCTTCTTTGCAAAATTTAGGAAACCAAATACAGATTTAGGGATGGACTTAAATACAATCATGTACTTACATTTAGCTATCAAAAGAATAATGCTCTGCATAAGATTACCACATATTTATAATTTTATTGTTCACAGGTCTCAAAACTATTACTAAAAAGTACAAATCTACAGGCAGTCCTTGACTTACAACACAGTTCATTTAGTGACTATTAAAAGTTATAAAGGCACTGAAAAATGTGAATTATGACCGGTTTTCATAGTTACAAAGTTGTGGCATCCCCATGATCATGTGATAAAAATTCAGATACTTGGCAACTGGTTCATATTTATGACCTCTGCTGTGTCCCAGGATCATGTGATCACCTTTTGCAACTTTCTGAGAAGCAAAGTCAATGGGGAATCCAGATTCATTTAATAACCTGGTTACTAACTTATCAACTGCAGTGATTCACTTAACAACTGTGGCAAAAAAGTCATAAAATGGGGCAAAACTCACTTAAAAAATGTCTCACTTAACAACAGAAATTTTGGGCTCAACTGTGATTGTAAGTCAAAAATGCAACAAGCTATGATTTGTTTTGCTGCATTCAAGCTCCACTAGACTAATGGCATTTACTTCTAAGTAAATACCAGGTCCATGCCCCAGAGACCACAGTGAGATCCACTTGAGTCCAGATTTTAATTTGCTTATACCTAATAGACAGAATCTTAACAGACTAAAGCTATAAACTTCTAACCTAACAGATATACAGTAGCTTGGTATAGGGTATGACTATTGTGAACATTTTCATCCCTCCACCATCCATTTCAAGACTGCACAGTTTCTTGCCTTGAGCCCCTCTCTGGAATGTGCTGCCTTATCCCTGGGAAGCTACAGCACTACTGCCAACATTCCCCCCATCCCATTTCTCCATCAGCTGCACATTCCATCACAATAAATACATATATAATTATGGTGTAAAAAGTATGTAGCTTATTTCTTCAATGAAATCTTTAGGGCAAAATGTGCTCCATTTTGTACAGTGCTAATCCTCCTTCCCTAATGATTTTAAAATAATAGAAAAATTGGCACATATGAATATAGAAATGCCCCCTTTATTTTAAAAGTACATATCTATAAATTTTTGCTTATTTTCGCCAAGACAAATGTCTAAGGATACCAACTACTTTCACTATCTAGAGAGAAATAAACATAAATCTACTCATGTTACCTACTTACAACACTATAAATATTTCATACTAAGTTAGGTTTAATTACACTTAAGAGGATACAATAAATAATAAAATCAAAGTAAAATAACAAGTGAAAGATGTGTGGAACACTCTATTCTAAATAAGATTTCATTAGTACAATTCCTGCTAGCCAGCATCAATGATTCATTGTATACTTATAATAATTCAATTTTTTTTCCCTGAAGGCACTGGACTTCCACAGAAATATATCTTTTCCGTGTCAGATCTTCATGGAATATCCATTAATATGGATTTTTACCATGCCATTCATGTTATTAAAATAGCACATTTACTACATGAATATTTAAAAGTTTAAAAACACAAAATATTTTTTCTACACAAAATATCAATATGCAATTTCTTTCAGCAAAAGATGTCTCTGACACAAAAGTAAATATCATCACCAGCAATTTGTTATATCTATTTGCATGGTAACTATTGATGATTGTTTTCACTTCAAAGTCAGATTTTCAGGTTCAATTCAGTGAGTAGACTGTATTTTTTTCAGTATTTCAGTACTATGTTTCCAGGGCTCAAGGTTAAAATCAACAAACTGAAGTCTTTGTAAGTAATTGTGGTAGATTATGCTTTCATTATAAGAAAATAAACCAGTGTTGTTGTTATTGTTATATTATGTTCACAAAACAGCACTGAGATGATGCGGAGAACATCCTTTCTCAAGATCTCCAGAAGCTGGATGACTACTTCAAAAAATGGTGCCTCCAACCAAGCCTAACAAAAACAGAAGAAGCCACATTCCACTCAATGTATGCAAATTACCAGCCTTCAGTGAAGTTCCTGAAATGTATTTTACAATGTAATATAAACCCAAAAACGTAACTCACTACAAGAGAAACTCAATACCATTACACCAAAATCACAAGACAATAACTCAGAACTATGGATCAGAAATCTATCCAGCAGACCTCTGTATCTGACAATGAAAAGACATCCTCACACATGGCTTCAGTTCAACCACAAAGATGCTGATCCCACTGAATTCCTTGCCAATCTCGAATCCATTCTAAAAATGCACTACCTGGACCAAGAAACACAAGATGACATCAGTCAAAGAATCATCTCTAACATGCAACGCAACAGACAAAATGAAACACTCAGCCAAAAGAAGAATAGAGCACTAAATACACTGAAATAAGATGAAAGCATCATCATCCTACCGGCAGACAAAGGCAGACTGACGGTAGTCATGGATAAAACTGACTACTGAAAACTGAAAACCATTCCAGTGACACCAACACCTACCAAATAATCCACAATGATCCAACCAAACAGCTAGAGAACAAAATAAAAGACAACCTAAGAAAAATGGGGGGGGGGGAAACAGCTAATTGTACTAGAGAAAAATCACATTTAACTACAAGACTCCTCCCCACCCAGATTCTATTGACTCCCCAAAATACACAAGAACAGGATCCCCTTACACCAAATAGTGTTTCTACCTGGAACACTGATGTACAAACTAGCAAAAACCCTGAAGAGGAAACTCAAACACCTGATCAACGATTCAACCCACTCAATAAATTCCACAGAACAATTTCTCCAATGCATCAAACACACCAAGATCAACAAGGAAGAAATTATGGTCTCCTTCGATGTCACTACTCTCTTCACTTCAATTGACATTGACCAGGCTAAACAAACAATACACCATCTATTCACTAAACACCATGCCCACAAAAGTGATGCTACTACAGAACACTCCATGTCCACAGAAACCATCATGAAACTCCTAGATCTATGCCTCAACAAATACTTCAAGTTCAATGGGAAAATCTACAAACAAGTACAATGTACCCCAACAGGTTCACCCATATCAGGCCTAATATCAGAAACAGTAATAAAACGACTCAAATCCATAGCTCTACCACCATGCAACCAAAATTCTGGGCACACTATGTCGATAACAACTTCATCATCATCAAACACATACCACCTACTCAATAACATATTCCCTGGGACAAAATTCACACGCAAAGAGGAAACAGACTCCCATTCCTTCATGTTGACATAAGGAGACTAGACTATGGAGAACTGGAAATCTGCGTCTACTGCACACCCACACATATGGATCAGATTCTCAGCTTAGCAAGCAAACATCCCACCACACACAAAAGAAACTGTGTCCAGACCCTCTTCAGAAGGGCCAGGACACACTGCAGCAGCACACTAAGAAAAGCAGTAGAGAAAAGACTGCTTGACATCTGTCTCTGTAATGGCTATCACCAAAACTTCGTATTCCGACACATAGTACCCAAATGACAACATATCACACAGCCAAATACCATGCAAAAACTAACCCTACCATACACAAAAAGGGTATCAGAAATGTCAGCCAGAATTCTCCAACCCATAGGAATATGAAGTCCACAAAGTACGGTTATTGGATACATAATTTTTTTTTTATTTTTTTTAATAGTTTTTTATTTTTCCAAACTCTCCCCCATACATATACCA